GCGATACGAAGACAACGATACTGGATACGTTCCAGTTTGATGATGTGAGTTTTAGCCGCCGACTGGAAGCAAAAACTACCGTACTCTAAAACCGATAAAATCGTTGTCCGGTACAACGTTAGAAGATCTTGCGGATGAGCTCCCCACCACGTTCCGGTAATTGTTCGGAGAAAATTGATCCTTTGTTGGCATTTTCGTCTCAGATACTCAATGTGGGATCTCCAGGTGCTTTTTTAATCGAACCAGACCCCAAGATATTTGAAAGACATGGAATGAGTGATCGGCTTACCCAAAAGTTGAAGCTTCGGTTGTGCTGGGCTATGCTTCCTAGAAAAAACGACCAACTCAGTTTTCTCCGTGGAGAATTCGATACCTAGCTGGATAGCCCAAGTAGACAAATTGTCTAAGGTATCCTGTAAGGGTCCTTGCAGGTTGACCCCTGTGGGCCCTGTCATAGACACTACGCCATCATCTGCAAGTTGTCTCAACGTGCAGTTGTCACTTAGACAATTGTCAATTTCTCTGACATAGAAATTGTACAAAAGGGGGCTTAAACATGAGCCCTGGGGGAGACCCATGTAACTAAATCGAGAAGCTGTAGAGTTTCCAAGAGAAAAGCTCATAAGTTTCTCTGACAGCAAATTGTACAAAAAGTTATTAATTAATGGGGAAAGGCCACAAGCGTGGAGTTTGTCTGAAAGGACTTCAACCGATACTGAATCAAAAGCCACGATAATATCGCGATGGGACGATACGAGTTATGATCTGACGCAGGTTTTCCAGGCTTTTTAATGGCTATAACTCTCACTCGCCTCCAATCATCTGGAACAATATTGAACTCCAGGAACTGACAAAACAAGTTCAACATGCGCCTCTTAGCGACGTCTGGGAGGTTCTTCAACAAGTCGAACTTGATCCTATCAGCCCCCGGAGCCGAATTGCGACACGAAAGGAGCGCGAGTGAGAGCTCCAGCATTGAAAAAGGCTGGCTGATCTCGTCTACCGAATTCGTCGTTTCGCGAGGAATCATCTGTGCCGGCACGGAATCAGGACATACTTTTCGCGCGAACTTGAGAATCCACCGATCCGAGTACTCCTCGCTCTCGTTGTTTGAAGACCGGTTACGCATCCTTCGCGCCGTGTTCCAAAGCGTATTCATCGACGTTTCGCGCGATAAACCGTTCACGAATTGCCGCCAGAATCCGCGTTTCTTGGCTTTGATAAGGCTCTTGAGTTCGTGTTCAAGAGTCGAGTACGCTTCGAAATACTCGGGTGTTCCGCGTTTCCGGAAAAGCTTAAACGCGTCGGACTTTCTACGATAAACCTCAATGCATTGCTGGTCCCACCAAGGGGTAGGAGGTTTCCTACGAAAAGACGTTCCTGGAACCGGCCGAGTTTGAGCTCGAAGCGCGCTGTCCAAGATCAGATTGGAGAGGAAGTTATATTCCTCCAACGGTGGAAGCTCTTCTACCGACGACACGGCTTCATCTATCGCGGTCTTGAACGTTGTCCAATCGATATTACGGGTGAGGTCGTACGCGACGTTAACGGATTCCGACGAATTGAACCCACTGGCAATCGAAATGCCGATCGGCAAGTGATCACTACCGTGGGGATCCTGGATCACATTCCACGTGCAATCCAACGATAATGAATTAGAGCAAAGTGTGAGGTCTAATCTACTTCCATTTGAGGATGGACCAGCCAAACGTGTTACTTCTCCATTGTTAAGAATTGTCATATTGAAGTTATCACAGAGGTCATATATCAAAGTAGAACGGTTGTCATCATACAGTTCCCCCCAGCCTGTACCGTGGGAATTAAAATCTCCCATAATCAACCGTGGAGCAGGAAGTACCGAACAGATATCTGAAAGTTGTTTTCGATTAACAACGGCTCTAGGAGGAATATAAACAGAAGCAATACAAAGGCTCTTGCCTTTAACAAAAGCCTGACATGCGACAACTTCAATACCTGGAAATTGTGGAAGATTCACTCTATAGAAGGAATGGCACTTTTTGATCCCCAAAAGTACTCCTCCTCCACGCGAATCCTCACGATCCAGTCGAATAATGTTAAAATCATGAAAAGGAAGATCGATATCTGAAGAGAGCCAAGTTTCACACAGAGCAAATGCATCACAATCATTATTGTGAACCAAAAACATAAACGATTCTATCTTAGGAATAAGACTTCGACAATTCCACTGTAGAACAGTGATCAAATCCCCGACCTCGTTTGGAAAATTATCCATCGAAGGAGATGATTGCTGCAAGGAGGGGCCACTTTAATGTCAACTGCTTCAAGAGGGTTTTCACAGTAGGAAGCATTGCCAGAACAATGCTTTTCAGAGGATCAGAAATATCGAGGTAATTGAGGATACTGTCCACAATGTTATCAAATGAGAACAACCCAGATGAAGAAGGGGCTTGTGTTCTGAAAATCGGGGCATCGGGGGTTTTGGATGTCCCCGGGAGAGGTGGAAAATCCTGGGTATAATCAGTTCTGCGGAATCCAGGAGGAGTAGAAGTCTCCTTTTTTCCACCACTCCTTGATTTGGGCAAGCTGATTTGGGGTTCTTGATCTGCAACTTTCCGCGAACGGATGCGTTTTCGTTTCCGGGCAGAACCTTCCGAAAAACTGAAAGAAACTCCCTCCTCAGCCAAGTCAGAGCCAGACTCGTCATCTGACAAAAGAGCGAAGTGATTTGTTTCGTTGGTCGATGGCTTGGCTGTCTTAAGCATTTCTGCAAAAGACCGCCTGGAACGTTCTTTAAGAGAGCGCTCTAGTTTTTCCCCGCGTTGTTTGTACACCGGACACGACGAGAGACCATGAGGAGGAGATCCTTTGCAGTACACGCATTTTGGTGCCGTGACTGTGCAGGCGCCATCCTCGTGCTTCTCCCCGCATTTGGAACAGCGTGCCTTGCTGCCACAGTGGGACGCCGTATGTCCCAACTGCTTACAGTTTTGGCAGTTCATGACCCGGGGAACGAACAAGCGCACAGGTAGTCGAAGTTTTCCCAGCTCGATATACTGAGGAAGGGCTGAACCAGAAAAGGTCACGCGAAACGAGTCTGTGGGGGTAAAACTCTTTTTACCCTCGCTGACAGATACTGAGCCAGTTTTTGGACATCCAGTATCTTCACCGGGGGGAGCAAGGGGTTCTTGAAACGGCCAACCGCCTGTTTCTCCAAGATCTCGGGGGTCAGACTCGCTTCGGTGACCACACCTTCGATCTCCACATCACGAGCTGGTATGTAAACCCTGTACTCAATCGTAAAGAGCTGGGAGGCAGCAATCTCGTTAGCCTGCTTCAGGTTAGAAACGACAACACGAAGTTTATTATGCCTAACCTTCGTGATTTCGGTCACGGCCGAGTATCGCTTCGTCAGATCAGTGGAAATTTGCATCAAGTTCAAAGGTTTGTTTTTGGGCTGAAAGTAGACAACCCATGGCCCAGTCGAGTCATCTGGATAGGCTCGCGATCGGTGGCTTTTCTGAGACGAACCATGAATGACAACACGTTTTCGTCTTTTCTTGCCATCGAGTGGCAAACTGGTGTCATCTTCCGACAAAATGTCCATATCGTCTTCTGACGAGACGTCCATTTTGCCGTACTAGTGGGAGCGGTAAACGCTCTACCACTGAAACGATGCTTAAAACCACACAGACACAATAAACAGAAAAAAAACTACAAACACAGAAACACAAAATTAAATTTAACTGATGGGCGAGAGAAAGAAAGAAACAGGAAAAAAAAAACTTATCTGCTATACTACTACCACCGAGTGATTACACAGCAGCAGCGGAGCGACGCGCAGCGTGGGTGACCTTCGATGCGCGTGTGCGGGCGATCTTTGTAGTGATGTGCTTGTATTAGGCTCGGCACTCAGCTGGACACACGATGATGGATGACCGGTATAAATGCGGAGGCAGATGCTGACACTCGATGACGATGATCTGTGTGCCGGTATGCGTGATCACGCACCGATGGTGCGCAAAATGGTTGGCGAATTGGCAATCGCAAAAACAATTTTCCTTCCGATGATGCCGAAAACACACTTTCTTCTCAGAAAAAAACTCACTTTCAGATAATTGTTTAGCCGGGTACTATGCCAGTAATCACTAAGCGAGAAAAAACTGATAATTTAAACCAACCGAATACCGAGAAAACTTCCGAAATACAGGAGCGCGAAACAAGTCGACTGTACTTCTTGCTAGGTCGCAGTGGGATGAATGTTCACGTTCTGTTGACTATGAAGCTCTGGGCAACCAATAGTGGATGTTAGTAAGTCGCTTACGAAAGAAACTTTGGCTATATCTCTCGTAACGTTGAGTGAATCAAGATGATAATCGATCAGCACTGCTGGGAAGATTAGTACGGTCAATACATGGCAGGTGCCGAAGTGCGTAACGTACGTAACGTCATATTCTAAATTTCCAAAACAATTTTGAAATCCCATCTTTCTCTTTCCCAAATTAATCAAATATTTTAAAAAGCTTTAAAAATGTTGAACATCTGAAAAATGTGGAAATCCTGTAACTTGGATAATTTGCTGCGACACATCCATTGTTCATGAAGTTTCACAAGGATTCTAGCATCTGGATGGAGTTCAGGGAAACCAAATCAAATGAAAACATGTTGCTGGCTATTCTCAAATTTGAGAATTCAAATATGACCTAATAATTAACTAAACATCCAATACGATAGTTAATCATGCAGAACGATGAACTTCTCAAACTTCCGATTTTCAAACTATTAGTTTATCAGTTTCGTTTTTCGTAAAAATATATTTCTATATTTTCGTTTAAAAGATATTAATATTCTCCGTATTACGGTAGCTACGCAGTAATTGTGCGTTTTCCAATGGTTTAGTTGCGAGAATTTCATCGTAAAATAAGGTGCATTTGCGTAGCTGCCTGCTAAAATGTTGTGAATAAACAATTTCATAATCAATTAATCTTCTAATACCATCATTGCGCTTTGTCTTTCTCCAGACTGGGCCGCTATGAAGTGAAAGAATCCGCAACACGCCGACCAACATCTGGTAAACCGCTTAACGACGAGTTTTCAGGTGAAGTTAATGGCAACGAGAATGATTTTGGGTGAGGTTATTTCATAAAGTCAACATGTCATTTTCTAACTATGTATTTCGTCTGGCAGAATAAATCAGCGGTTCGGTGGATCGATAAATGGTCAATTTCCTAACAATCCCTATGGAGGTCTGAATCCTGGATTCGGAGGTGGAAATCCAGGTTTAGGAGGTGGAAATCCCGCTTTCGGAGGAGGAAATCCCGCATTCGGAGGTGGAAATCCCGCTTTTGGAGGCGTAAATCCCGCATTTGGAGGAGTTAATCACGCTTTCGGAGGAGGAAACCCGTACTTGGGTGGCAGTTACCCTCAACAATCTGGCTTTGGTGGAGGGTACGGTGGAGCAAATGGAATCTTAGTAGGACCCACAGGACCTACCGGAATAATTGGACGACCTTACAAAGGATATAACGGAGGATACCCCGGAGGATATCCCGGTGCTGGTGGCTATGGAGGTTATTCTGGATTCGGTAATCAAGGTGCATTTGGACAACCAGGAGGAGGTTTCTATCCCCAAGGAGGCCTTGGTCAAGGTGGAGGTTATTATGGCGGACAAGGTGTAAATGGACCAAGTCAATTCAGACCCGGTCAGTTTGGACCAGGGCAATTTGGACCAGGACAATTTGGAACTGGGCAGTATGGAACTGGACAATTTGGGCCAGGGCAATTCGGACAAGGCCCAGTTGGAGGGTTAGGACCAATTGGTGGTTTGGGGTCTATCGGAAGACCATTTGGAGGTCCTTTTGGGCCACAGTTTGATCAAGCAAAACAGGCCACAAAAAAAGCGGAGAAGAAATCCGTTTGAACCAAAGTTGTTGTGATATACTATTGAACTGCTTATACATACAATAAAAAAAAACTGTTACAAACTTACCGATAGTAGTGATGACAATGATTGAGTAGAACAATGCTCCGAAAAATGTCCACTGGATTTGATCAACGTCTTCGATACCATCCCACCCATCTTTTTTCATGGCAGTGAGAATCTCCTTCTCGAATGACTGAAAAAAAAAGAGTGGTATATTTAATATCTCAAACGGCAAAGAGCCAATCGAAAATTAATAACACGGATTGAAGTGAAGGGTGGTGAACCGGATAGTCTGTTCTTACATACCTGAAGATGAATGACAGCAGTCTCGGTCCAGTTATGTTGGTGCAGTACCGGTTTATCATTAGTCATCTTCCAAATAGCGTCTGTCAAATTGACACGAATAGAACTGATGCCTTTCTTTACCTGGAGTTGGAAAAAAATACCAGTATTATTTTGGAGGGGATAATATTTTTAATATTCTTGACTTGTTTTGGTACCATTTTATGATACCAACAGAAACTCCTGTATCATGGTGTTAGTTGAACTAGCTGTTATGGCAAACCAACGACTTTGCTCAAGATTGTTATTTTACTAACATTTATAGGGTAGCGCGCTACTTCGTCATAATCACCTATTTCCATAATATCGAGAAAAAAACATCAAATATATCAATGATTTCAACGTGAACAAATAAATAATATACTTAATCCTATCCTTAAGCTCAATAATACACTTCAATGTCTATAATACGCTGGGGCAATCGAAAGAAACTTGAAAAGAAACCCACACTATTTTTTTAATTTTCTTAATTCAAAGTGAATGAAAACTGGTCTTCCACCATCTGTGAATATAGATAAACAAAAAGTAACAAACACAACTCGGAGAAGTGCAAACTTTTCGCTAAGTTTTTCCGTTCCGTTTTGGAATGCTCGCCGGTGCATGGAAATGCTGCAGACCCAAGACAGGGGGAATTTCGGTCGCCTTGAAACAACAATGGATTCATGATAGTAATTGAGTATTCCACAATAGATCATCTAACTGGGCACAGTGCAAGGCAGATAAGCACAGGTTGGCTGGAACACACCCAAGTAACACTTGCAACATCTTGCATGAAAAATAAAAAAATTCCAGTTGTAAATAAATTATATATTAATTGCTTCTAAAACATCCTGTCAATGCATTCTTCAAACTGCACTACAATATGGCTGACCAATGAAGAATGAAAAAACATTTAATTTGTGCTTTCAACATCACATGTACGTTTTGTAACAGAGAAAAGTAAGATAATTGAAAAAGAAAGTTGATATTATATTTGTTTTTGTTGTTTGCAAAAATGGGGAATTTTATCCAGGATTTCTTTATGCAATTCAATTTATTATATTAAGCTTTTTCTAAGAGCCAATGAGTTTTTTAGAAGTAGAATGCATAGATTTACCATAAATTTGTAACCGCATAAATGTTTGCAGTACGGAATCTCAGTTTAGGCACTTTATTCACACGATAAAATTCCTAAGAAGAATAAGTTGTGTAAACAAATTCCATTCGTAGGAAGGATGAAATTAATTTACAACATGTCCAATACAGTAGGTTGCGTTATAGTCATAAATAAGTTGCGCAAGTCAAGCATATGTTATATATAGATCCCACCTCTTGCGCTTTTTTCGGTATAAATAAGTTGTATATAAGTGACTAGACGTAAATGTTTACCGCTGATATTGTCATAAATAAGTTATGTAAACCCGTTTATGACAAATTGTGTTGCTTGGGCAATTATTTGCCGTTAATGCTTATGAAAAGTTCACTATTTTTCCACAAAAGGTGCCAAAGCAAAAAAGTTTACCGGTGGATTTGGACTGGTCACAAATTCCTTTCCAAATTGATTTCCAACGCAAGTGATGTGAATTTCACGAATAAACACAAGGAGGATTGATTATAGCAAAACTTTCCATATAGGGGAAATGTCTCTAATGTTGGCCTATGGATCTAAGATTGGGCCCATCGCTAAAAATCTTGTATTTATCAATTTTATCTTAATAAACGCGTTATTGGGACATTATTAATGGATATTTTTGGTTGCTATTGAAAATTTAGTCGATTGCTGAATTTATGTATGAGCCCAAATTAGGGACACTTACGCCGCCAATTCTAGGCTACACTTGTGCTGATCATTGTGTCCGATGAAAGCTCGGTTGGTGCGTGTAAGGTACAAAGCTTAACTTTTTCAATTTCAAGTATACATGTAAATTACGTTCCTACAAAACCGACCAAATCATGACCAGACAATTATCTCCCACGACAATAAATTTTAAAAGACATTGACGTAAAAACCCGATCGACCCAAATTCACAAAATGCATATTTGCAATCCAAGACGTACCCAACAATCCATTCCCATTGTAAAACAACTTTTTCCATAACCAATTTCCAACACCAACGACAACCATCATTATTTAACACTTGAGATTTCGAAAGGCTAATTTATTGCCTCAGAACGAACATGTGAATATGACCATCCTAACTGCATACCTATCACAGCATTTCAAATGACGATTTTTTTTTAATTTTTTGATCGACCTTCTACGATTATGTTGAAACTTTGCACAGTTGTTTGTTGTTGTCCAACATGCCATTTTACATATTTCGTTCCCTAGTTTTGTACACGACTAACACTTGAAAAGGGCTTATGCAAAAATTATACGCATCAATAGAAAAACATATATCTCGCGAACGATTTGTTTGATCGAGATGCTGTCTTGGGCGAAGTTGCGGACAAGTATTGTATCTTTCAAGAAAAAATATACACTGATCATATTCCCACCATACATGAAGAAACCAGAACGGTTGACAAAGAACGAAAACGTAAACGCTGACATCGACTCGAAGCACGCGACAGACGACAAACATTCCCCAGGAATAGGAAACTTACCTACGCGACAATACATTTCTCCCTTTCGCGCGCATGAGCTAAGCCACCCGAGCGCACGAAAGAAAGATGCATAATAATAACCAATTAGGATCGAGAGCGCTTACTCTCTCCGATACATATCCATCTCCATTCGTTAGAATGGTGAAGTACTAGATTAGATAAACAACACATTGTAAACATAAAAACCGTTTAGAATAAAGAAATTAGGACAGTTTAGAGAGAGTCTTGACAAAAGGGAAAACCATTTATGATGTCAGTGGATGATGACAAACCCCTAAAAGAAAACGCTATAAATAGTGATTTTTAAAGTGTCCAAATGGTGACGGTAATGATAGAGCCTGACAATCTAAGTGATTTTCTAAATTACATTTACTAAGTGAAGTGAATCTACAGATATACAAGTGGTGAAAAACAAAATCAAAATCTGGTTACGGAGTGAGCAAAAAGGGTCTCGATAACATTTAGTGAAAATTAGTGAAAAAATGACATCTCACATCAAAAAGGTGACTAAGTGATCAGAACATCATCATCAACATCACTACAGCTCATACGGACTTTCACCAGAGTCACACAATTAAACTATGGATCCTCATCGCCGTTGTGATATGTTTCGTGTTTGTGTGGATTTATCGTGCAATTGAGAAAAACATTCAAGGACAAGCTATACGCGCAGCGCGTTCAGTAGCAACAGTTGCAACATTGGACGCAGATGTTGAAAGTGATAGTGCAGCATAAATTTTTCAGTGAGAAGAAAAAAAACACAGTGATTATGATTTGGACAAATTTTGTGTTCACAATGTATACCATATAGGGGGAGGAGGGGCATAGTGAGCATCCCGCAGTTTGGCCCTGGATCTCTAGCTGCATGAAACAAATCAACTGGTAGTAGGTTCAATATCATTATGTTATTGATCCTACGACCAATAAATTTGTTCCGAACGGTCGGAACTCCAAGCTGGTGCACGGGATGCTCACTATGCCCCACCTGTTCACTATTCCCCCTTTACCCCTAGGCATCTTATAAACTTCTACACACCCTGTCGGCATCTAAGAACACGAAAATTATTCTCAGAAAAATCACGCAGAACAAATCACGCAAAAAATGGCCCCATCAATCGAATGATGCAACAGTCATTAGCATCACTATGCCAAAAGAAGAAATTAAAACCCAACTAAAACATAATAGAAATAATTCATAGTATGTAAGTAAAACATTGTAACCATTGTATGTAGTCTATTTTGCTTTAAAAAAAAAGCTGTAAATACCAGGCTAAGTCCCGAACTACTAAGTAAGAAAGAAAAACTTAATTACGCATTAAATACTGATGTTGAAAATTATTTACAAGTAGAATTTAATAACATACACGATGAAGATTTTCATGTCATCATTAAAAATATTAGATTTTGGAATTTAGAAATTCAGAAGATAAGGAAATTATTCAATTGCATACGACTAGACACAAGACTAGTCCTACTCATACACTACAGGTATCGCCAAAACTTCCGCTTCGTGCGAACACGCTTTTAAAACACTAAAAGCAAAGAACATAAAAACAAATAAAATGGCTAATGAGAATCAAAAACTTTTCGAAATGAAGCAGGCAACGTCTATCGTACCCATGTACGACGTCTCAGCCGATGACTTAGAAGCATTCATTGATGCTATAACATTGATAGCGGAAATAACAGCAGCAAATCAAGTTGCAATTGCTGTAAAATTTGTATAAACAAGACTAACGAAAATAGCAAGATTAGGACTCGGAAACAGTCTGAACATACTACAAGACATCATTAACGATCTAAAAGCTCGCTGCAAAAGTCAGGAGAAACTAGAATCCCTGATAACTAACCTTAAACAAACTAAAAGAAAAGGGAAAACTGTTGAATTTTGTGAGGAGATGGAAACTCTCACATTTTAATTAAAAAGTCTCTACATTGAACAATAAGTTCCCGAAATCTTTGCAAATTCAATGGCAACACGCGTTGGTTTGGAAATCCTTTATAAACGGGATCCTCTCAAATGAAACCAAAATTATATTGAAAACAGGAAGCTTCACGAACATTGAAGAAGCTATTCTCAAAGTTTTTTTTGTCATTCGTGACTTGTCAGGGGGTGAGATTTGAACTCGTGACTTTGGCGTAAGAGGTTTGGATGTCAACCACTAGGCCGGGGTCGCCCCCATCCTCAAAGTTAATGAAAATGTCGACAGCAATAATGCCCAAATGCTGATGACAAACACCGTCAGACAGCAACCAAATCATTACTTCAATAATAATTACAAAATAGGAGCAACCATACGTACAGATACCAAAACTGATCAAACCAAAGAAACCATAACTTCAGAGGAAATGGGGAACAACGTTACTCCAATAACAATATACAACGAAATTTCCAAAACATCAATGGCACACATTTCCAGCGTCAACGTTTCAACACAAACAGGCAGCAAATCGAAATAATAAACAATTTAGAAGAGTTTATGCGGGGGCAGCGGAAC